CTGCATGGGGCTATTTTTAAATTATTATTCAAATAAATACAGTGAAGTTATTTATGCATGCTGAGAATAGTCTTTGCATTTTTTATGGAACCGAGCAGAGTATCTTCACCTATTTGTGTATATGTTGAAGTATTTTCCTTCAAAAGGTTTTTACTACTTTCAGAATAGTCTTTTTTAATGAAAAAAAAAAGAGAAAAATGCAATATGATGCTTCTTTTTGAAGACACGTGTTGTTTTTTTTTTCTTCCAAACAGTGAAGGAGAACAGGGTCCAAATGGTAGCCAGAACTCTAGTTATAGCCAATCTTAAGACATTCCAAAGAATTTCTTAATGGACCACTTTGACTCAAGACATCCTGGGATCTTTCCTGTGTTCATGAAATGGACAGAAGGTTTTAGTAACATCTGACAAAGAACTTGAAGAACAAGTAGCTTGCTTGTGTCAAGCATTTGGAAAGCTTTTTTTTCTCTAAAACTGCATCATTTTCTCTGACGCTGGAGCAAATGTACTAAGATTTTTTTCAGTGTAAGGAATCAAATGTTAAAACAAGCTGCGAAAGATTAACACTATCCACTCGAAATAAATAGTTCATTACTGGTTTTGTTTGCTTTGAGAAAATTGTAACTTGCCATTGACATGAACTATTTTTAAAGCAACAGTAACCTGAAGCCTAAGTGTAACTGTATTAATGACTTGTGTTGTCTTCATTTTGTTTGTGACTGAAGGAAGATAGTGCACTGTGTGTTAAATCTATTCATTACATTGAGTTTTGTTGATTTTTTTTTTTTTTTTAATAAATATGGATTCTGTAACAAGGAACAGAGCAATCCTTCAGAAACAAAGCCCAGAAGAGCCTGAAAAGAACATTGTTACAGTTTTAATGAAAGCTGCAGGAACGAAATTCGGTTCCTTTTTTGGATTAGAAAAATGCTGTTTTACTCAGTAGGTGTACTTGGGTGTTTTTGCCATGAAGCGTAGTAGCCCAGCTTACCAGAGAAGTGCAATATGTATAGTGATTCTGCAGTTTTCTTAAACATTTCAAGTGTTAGGAATTAAAAAAACCCAACATACTATGATTTTTTGTTTTGCAAGTAAATGTACTGTATAGTACAATAGTTCACATCAAGTACAAATCTGGATATGATTGCTATTTTTTAAGGTGGATTTTTTTGTACAAAAGATATACACTGTTAGTCTGCCTCCACTGTTAGTGTGAATTTGTGTGGTTCATTAGAGAGTTTATTTAAGAGGCTCAAGCTTTCAGTGAGCTCCATACTGGCTAATTTAAATTGTGATGTTAGGAGCAACTGTTTAGAATAAATGAAATGGGATTCCTTGGTGAACTGTGTGCTGGAGAAAATGAGATTCCTTTAAACAGCAGGCCATATCCTGTGTTCCTTACTCAGGCAGATATCCCACTGAAGTCAGGAATTGGCCTAAATAGAATTTCTTGATTTTTAGATATCTTTGTTTCTAATTAAATTCTGTACAACATAATTTTGTATTGATAATACTGACTTGCCCAAGTATAAAAATTGAATGATAAAATAAAGTGCAGTAACATTGTTCTCTTCTTTTTTTTTTTTCCCTGAAGCAACACATTTCACTGTCTGAAATATTGGAGGGAAATTCTTGAAGACTCTTGCTCTCTGATGTGTCTTGGTTCAAAAAACCTGGCCCCTTAAAAAAGCCCCTGTTTTTGCAAATGCCTGTCTTTGTAGTTGGCTGGTCATTCAGTCAAATGTAACTGCAGCGCGTTTGTATGTTGCCCATTAGGCTGCTGGCATTTATTTCTGTTCAGGTTATTTTCGTAAAACCTTAGGTAAACAAGCCCAAACCACTTTGGTGAGATAGACAATGTATACATTTTGGTCTTTGCAACTTTTGTTGCCATTTGATCCATACCTTTTATAGACACTTGATTGATGAAGTGGAATTTGGCTATTTGCCTTTGTTTCTTGAAGTCTGAAATGTGCTATTTGTAACGTGGACTTGGGGACTAGAAATAAATCAATGCAACTTGACCACTGTGTGTAGTTCTTAAGCAGCAACTGCTCTTTAGGTAAACATCAGTCTTCTCACATAGACCACATTATCTGCTAAGAAAGCTAATGTTTTGAAATCAGGAATTTCACCCTGTTAATGAAGAATTCTGGCTGGAGTGAATGAAAGTTTTCCTGCTGCTCGGGAGCCTTTGCAGACTTTATTTCACACCTAAATTAGCTATCTGATCTAAACCTCAGAGCTAAAATATCAGGCACTTCTTGATGGTAAATAGAAGTATCTTAACTCATCTCCCTGCTGGGGAGGTGAGGATGGCTTTACCAGCTCCAATTCCATTGTAAATTAGTGAAAGGCAATAAAGTGCAGTCAAAGGAATTGGATTCACTGACGACAGTTATAAAAAGGAAGATGTAAATTGGAACAACAGGAAATGGAACATAAAGTGAATTCCACAGTTTTGATACCAACCAGATAGAAAAAAAAAATTACCTTTACTGTGCTTCATTTCAAAGGAGAGAAATGTGTAAAAATGAGGTATCTCATTAAAAGAGAGGTAGCGGAAAGTCTTCTCAGATGTGGTTACAGGTGACAGCAGAGTGTCAAAGCAAACACGGGCCATCTGTGCCAAAAGACTGAAGGAAAAATCTACAACGAAGCAAACTGAACTGGATCAGACGAGTTACTTAACTCGAAAAGCAAATTATGTCCACATAAGGAAGACACAGAGGAAGACACAGAAAGGATCATCAACTTTGACAGGCTACAAATAGTTCGAGAAACACCTTGCAAAAAACTACTAAGACTAATAAAAACTACTGAAAAATAAAAGTGAGGTATACAGTGGCTTTCCTATTTAAAAAAAAAACAAAACCAAAAACTCTTCAACTCAAAAAAGACAGCAAAGGTCGAGAAAAATCCTGAGTGGTGTGAAGACTGATAGGTGACAACTGTTCATAATTTCTGACAGAAGAGCAGGAGCATCCAATGAAAACAGTACATGGCAAGTTGCGAAGCAGCAAAGGGCAAGACTTCTTGCGGTGCATTGTTAAACCCAGCGCAGCCTGCTGGGACTGTTGGGAGTTTGTGTTGGAGCTCTGCAAATACACCAAGGCATGCAAAGCCTGAAGGAAGTATCAAAGCACACTGAGTTGTAAATGAGAATCATCTGGGGGTTGTATCAGTACATACTTAGCTATCGCTACATACTTACCCTGTTTTATGCTCTTCCTCCGATGTTTATTACCAGTTGCTGCCAAACAGAAAATAATGGGCTAGACAGATTTTGTTGTGACCCAACATACCTGTTGTTCATTTTTTGTGGCTATGTAGCATTAGGTGTTCCCAGCAAACTTTAATGTAGCTACAAAAGGAAGCATTGGCCATGTGTGACTAAATTGTGACAAAGTTCAGTTGATTAGATCTCCTTGCTTTGTTCATCTATATACTGAAGTTCGGTGGCATGGTCGGTACAGCTAGGCGTGATTAATTACGTGTTTAGCTAAATATTTTCAGTGTGTCTCACATTTTCTATACAATCTGACCTTCATAATCTAGATCAAAAGGCATCGTTAGCCCTGGTGAGGCCTCGCACAATGCAGCCAACAGCGGGCTTCAGTTCCCCCTCTGACTATGAGCCCACAGCACTGTGAAGCTGACGGTCTAGGGCATGTTAAACAGGCAGAATTAACAGGTCGTAGGATTTGGCTAAATCCAGCAGAACTGTTGGCATCTGTTACGCCTCTTCATCCAGTCTGAAAAAGACCTTTCAAGAGCAAGATGGTGAGAATTGCAGAGTAATTGACCACAACAAGATAACACCCATACTCATCTTGGCATTTTAATTTCATGTTACTCCTATTAATTCATCAGTTAAACTAAACTAGTATTTTGGAAAATAGTCTAAATTCTGGTTCTTAAGTTGGTTGGGGTTTTTTTTTATGGATTGGAAATGAAGCATAGCAATAAGACCGCTAAAAAGTCAATGATACTTTGAGGGAAAGTGCACTCATTACTCACTATTATGACAGCTACACTGCAGGGTCTGTCATTATTAGCAAAGACGAGAGGACAGAAGCGCCTGCAAGATACACGGTCAGGGCAGCACTGCTAACACAGCTGGCTGTGCCAGCTACCGGCGTTCTCTAGAAACAAACCGCTGCGGAGAGACTCTGGGACTTGCCAGAAATAAAATTCTAGTAAGATTAGTTACTCTTCTCTGTTCTCTAAATTTGAGAGGGCCTATTTTTTTAGGTCCTCTTCTCACCATGCAGACTGCACTGTCAGAATGGAAGAGCTGTCGGGTAAGTGCATGTTGCCTGCAATACCGATTAGAGCAGAACCAGAGATTTTAATTCCTTTTTCCAGACATTCTGCAGGGTCCTGAACTTCTGTGCTAGGACTTAAATTTTCTAGAGGTCAAAGCAGTTCACCTTTCCTAGCTCCCCTGAACTGCTAACAGCATTAAAAAACAAACAAACCAACCCTTAAAATGATGACTATGCAAACGTATAGGTGGGGATGGGATGGGTTGGTTTGTTTTTTTAAAGTTTAAGACACGCAAATTAACGTACATAAAAGAAGGGAGTTTATTTGGACACCTCAAATTTTCCAGCCTAAAAATAACATCTCTGTAATAATGACTTCAAATACAGGCAAGTTCTTACTTGATACTAAGCTGCTCAGCGAACAGAAGCTGCTGACTGAATGCTATCGCATTTTGTGCTCAGCAGGAGATCTGTGTATAAAAAAGGATGTACTTTTAAAATAAGGACTCGCACAGCAATTTGAACAGCGAGTATTCTAGCATCAGGTCAGATTCCCTTTGCATTTTCTGACCAGTAGTGAAGTTGTGGCCTTAGAATCACAGAGTACAAACCTAAAAATTTGTACTCTACTTGGACTCTTTCATAACACAGCAACTATTTTAAAACTCCAGCTACACATGAAGTATAATAAATCTGTGCCTAGGGCAGTTACCCCAATTCCACTAGAATATCTGCAGTTTAACTATTCTAAACAAACTACCCAACACAGTTATTTGGGAAAGGATAATTTTATTTCTCCCATAATCATTAGCTGAAACAGTCACAAACTACGCCATACAAAAATCTTAGTAAACATAATAAGCACTTAGTTTCTCTTCACATACTTTCACAAAAAAACAGCCCAAAGTAAAGGCTGAACAACTTTAACATCCTCTGTTCATGTCATACTCTTCAGATACAATTTAAACCAAGCTGTTGACATGTATGGCTATTTAAAGGTGAATGCCTGTTTACATGAGAAAACAGGACTGGACTGTATTCTGGAAGTGGAATGCACATAGTTTGAATGCTAAAACCTACAAATCATCCTGAAGCCTTGGTGGGGCAAGGGCTGGCGTAGTCATCTTCCTTTTTTCTCTGGAGGTTCATGTTTTACCCAATCCTCAAAGCCACCAGCATATTGCTGAACTCTGAAAATATGCAGAAGATACAATGTTAAGAACGACTCTCCTTGAAAAAGTTATCTAAGAGGGCATGGAAAAAAACAATGCAAAAAAAAACCTGAGAAAAAAACCATACAGAAATTCTCCGAAATAAAATACACTTGTACCTGGCTTCAATGAGCCAGATCGACGTTCCTTGTACTCTAATACTGCCTGCTTCCTTGCAGTGTGTTCTGTAACTCACTTCTTCCAAATGACACAATGCTGGAGGTCAGACATCACGGGAGCAGTAGCAGCCGGATCAATGAAAGTTTGCCACTTTCTTTTTTTAAAAAGATGGAACTGACTCACTGCAGTGGGAGATTCACACGTTGTTATGTCTGATACTTCAGATGTCATCAAATAAATGCAGCACACTGATCTTTACTTCCTTGCAAACCTATATGCTCTCTAGAGCTGACATAAGCCTGCACAAAACTAAACTCTGGAAAACAAG